TTATAATTTTCGCCTTCGATATTTAAATTTGGAGTTCAATACAATAATCAAGACGTGCAAATGACAAGTTCAATACTTTAATGAAGTTGTTTGGAGGCGACAACTATTATGCGCCAGAGTAGTACAATTTATCATACTATACAATCACTATCAACGACCATCATTCTGAAAATGGGGAGCAATCAAGGCGAAGTTGCTTTCAGTTCCTCTCGTGCTACGTACGCACAACGTTGCGATCAATCTCGGAAAAGACAGGTCAAATTAACAGGATGTTGTCTTGCGCCGGTGTTCGCAACCGACGACTACCATGTTCACAACGGTGACCTCGATGACAAATCCAAAAGTAACAGTAACTGTAAGTTCATTATCCAGTCAATCATTCAGTTCCCTCCTTTCACTTCACTACTCTCTACAAGTCATGCATCGGTACAGTGTACCATCAGCTCGGAACATATGCCCCTCCGGATCTAGGTCATATTTCACACACCTCAAATGTCGTCCTGGTCCGGACTAACATTCGGCTACCCACACTCAGGCAAGGGGAGTCGAACAGAGCCTACATCGGGTGACCAAATGCACTCGTGACATCGTCGATAATTTCGCTCACGCCCTCTTCGTTTCTCCGGGCCTTGGTCCAGAGACGGAATAGCATAGGGACGTCTTTGTAGATTGATAGGGATGGCTCCCAGGATGACTCCAGATCGTCCAGACCAAGCCACTTGATCAGGACTTCCCAGATCCCATCTCGCAGACGCAGGTCCCGGAGGTCTTCCACGTAAAAACATTCTTCATCACCGAACTCAATTTGGGCCTTCAAATCGTCCGGGACTTATTCCAGTCGATCCTTACCTCCCGTGGCTCCTCGGGATGGACCAGACCGGCCTGTAAACACCGTCGTTGGCGCTATGCCGTCCAAACGGTCGGTCGGCTGTTGATTCAGAGCAGGCTGTACGAGGGATAACACCCCCGGCCAGTCCCCGGCGTGCAAGCGCATCTCGATACACAGGGTCTTCAGGGTCTGGGCGACGTTCCGGTTCACCACCGCAACGGTCCCATTGGCCCAGGGGCAGTGTGGTGTGACAAAATGGTGATGAACACCAAACATATGACCCAGAGTACTGACCAGTTCATTCTTAAAATGGCACCCGGAGTCGAATACCCAGGTCTTGACCACCCCGAACAGGCCAAACCATTCCATCAACGCCGCGGTCGTCTCTGCTGCAGACCCTGTCGTACTGACATGCAACCGAACGAACCCGCTCTTGTCATCCTTGATGACCAGGACGTATTTCAAGCCTCCTGGGGCTCCGGGAGCGACAGCTAGTCGAAATGAATCAACTCATTTGGCTTCGTTGCATGCAGCGCTTCACCCCAGGGACGGGGTACCGACTCCCTGTCGACCACCATATAGTTCAATGTAGACAGGCAGTGACAAAGATCTTTACGTAAGTCTTCAGGGAAGGCAATCAAATATCTCCGCTACAGATGCCGTCGTCGCTTCCACTCTTCGGTGTCCCACCACGCCGGCATGGGCCACCACCCAATGCATCTCCCGGGATCGAGATCTTTCTAGCTGCCGTCGGAAAACACTTCTTCTCGGTGATCCAGGAGGCCTATTTTTCACATGTCGGATGGCCGCGCTGCAATTCCGTGATCGCATTCGTCGGCCACATAAATTCTTCGTTCCGTAACGGAACGCCAGGGCCAGCCTGACATCCGGGCACTCCGGGACTCCACCGGAAGGCTCCGGTCCGGTCCAAGAGGACTTTTCTAACGGCTCAGGGGGTCCGCCCAAAGGTAAATATTCTCCTCTCCGGCCACACACTCCACGACGTACGGGAACGTCGTCATCGTCAACGCCCAGCGATGGAGCTTGTGGGCCTGGTTCTTGGCCATGTTCGAGTTCGACCCCAGAGGGTTAAACATGTACAGCAGGTTCCGGTGGTCCCTAAACAATCGGAACCCTCCCGGACGGATCATGAGGTACTCCAGGCGCATGCACGATTCAACAACCGCAAACGCCTCCTTTCCACAATCGGCCATCACCCGCTCGCTCCCCGGAACGACCCGCTCAGGAACGCCAACCGGTTTATGTCGCTGGTCGCTCGCCGGTTGGGCCAGGTCCTGGACCGGGACCTGTGTCGCAACAGCGCCCCAGAACCCCTCGCTCGTGTCGGTACACAAACACACCATCTTGTCCGGGTGGGACAACGGGGCCATACGTTTCAACGTCTCTATGATCCGGTCGAAACTACTCCAGGTGGTCCCCAGACCACCCGACGGAACTCAGCGCAACACGCGTCAATGCCGTCTTCTTCCGGGAGTCGGCCGCTTTGGCCGCAATATCCAACAGCTTCGTCAACGGGGCTACCAGCACTGTGTACTGCGGGATATTCCCCCTCATCCAGTTCGTGACGCACAGGAACTGCTGGAGATCCGCTGCCGTCTGCCGCGGCCCCAAATCACTCATGCCCTGGATCCGTTCCGGGGCATGCACCACGCCGTCCGCCGAAATCTCTTTCCCACACCATACGGTCCGGGTGGTGCGAAAATCACACTTCCCGGGGTGCAACTTCAGTCTTGTTACGCTTGGAAGATCTCAATCACTTAACGCAGCAGGTGCAACAACTCGTCCGTGGTCTGGGCATGCCCCAACAAATCATCGAACCATCCGAGAAGTCCGTGCATCAGGAGGCCCCCGTACAACTCATCGGCCACCCTTGACAATAGTCCACCGCATCGGTCTGGCCCATTAGGACCCGGGTCGGGGTCACAACCCCTACGGGAGTCATGAAGGAGTAGTACTCCTGGGAGTCCGGGTGTAAGGACAGCTGCCAATACCCCTTCATCCAGTCCAGTTTAAAGTAGACTTTCGAGCCATTCAGTACACCATGGCCACCTCCAGATTAGGCATGGGCCAGGGCATCGGCTCGGTACACCCATTGATCGGTCTCGAGTCAATCGTCATCCTGAGGCTCCCGGATCTTTCTTCGGGACAATCCTCGGGGCCGAGACCTAGCGCGATCTAGTGTTCCGGAACACCAGACCCGCTTCTTCCAGCCCCCGTACATGCTTTTCCAGGAACGCCATATGGGTGCGAGGGTAGCGCCGCAGTCCCGACTTCACCGGCACAACCCCTTCCTTGAGGCGCACCTTCAACGGTTCCGCTTTGACCTGCGGGTCTCTCCCGAATTTCAGTCGGAAAACGTCCCGGAACTCCATCAACAGGTCCCGGTGCTGCTCGACAGCTGCTGTTGGCATGGCCGCGGTAGCCGCCTTGTCCACCTTGGCTTCCAGGACACTACGTACCGGACCATCGTCGTCAGGCGCATTTCCAAGTTCTGGCGTTGCACACGCCATCCCTTCGTCGTCGTCGATACCGTCTGACAACTCTCCCATCCGCAGGGTACGGTGCATCGCGACTCCCGGAGTCGTGATCGGCTGATCCCCGAAATCCGATACGGCTTGCTGCCGACGTGCATTCTCCAGCAACGTCTGCTCATTGTAGCCCAGCTTCTGCATCACGGGCAGACCGAGCGTCAGTTCAACGAGTGCTACGGTCTCATCGACCCAGACCAGGAGCCCTCGCAACATCAGCGGCCCACACGCGGTCTTGAATTCATGGCTGCCCAGGCGAACTTGTTTTGTCACAATAATCACCTCGCTGTCCGCCCCGTAGGGTCGGAGTTCCATCGGACCCATGACCGTAATCTCCGAGGATGCTCCTGCAGCCAACAGCGCAGAAACCAGACCTCCGGAGGCCACCGACAAATTAGCTCCTGTGTCCAGGAGTGATGTCTGTACGGGAAGGACGCCGTCCACAATAGCCGGGAGCTCATGCCGCTTCGCGTCGGGGACATCCGTCTTCACCGTCACCACGCGGCCACCAGGTGCTCCCGAGTCTCCTTTCTCGCCGCTCCGACTACGTCCGAACGTACTTCGGCGTGCTCTTAGTTGCTTGACCTCTTCAGGGGTGACCCCGGGACATTATCGAACCCAATAGTTGGTCAACTTACAATCCAGACAACCGTTGTTCGGTGCAGCGATAGCCGGTGCGTTCGGAACAGGTGTCAGGGGCTTCGCGTCTCCCCTCGGGACGCTGGGTCCTCCCAGGACCTTCGACCCGGGCGGCTTCAGTAGGTCCGGTCTCAGAGGTGGCTTCAACTCTTCATCGTAACCCACAAAACGCTCGTGTCCGATCGCATATTCCCGCAATCAGCGCACAAAACGATACACATCCTTCTTCAAAGGCTTGTTTCGCGTCAACGCCATCTGCTCGGTAACGGCACAGTGTAGCGACGCAGGCTTGACGGCGTCCGTGATGATCTTCACGATCGCCTGGCTCTCTTCTCGGATCACCCACTCCTGGCGGTCCTGATGGATAGCCCCAACCAAACCATCCAGTATGCGTCCGATCCGGGAATCCGCATCCGGGACCGACATATCAAAAACAACAACAGATTTAATCCGCTTCTTCAGGGTGTCCAGGCCCCGGGGATCGACGTCGAAACCTTGCTTGAACCACGCAATCCATTCGCCCTCGGACACGTCATCGGGATCGCTTCCCATGTCCCATTCGGCATTACGTTCAATACACGCCCTCACGGGCATGATGAACGGTCGGACCCCGTTGGCAGTCAGGGCATTCGTCTGGCTGATATACAGGTTGTACGCGGCCATAAAAACTCGTCGTTCTTCCTTGGTGGATCCCTTTAACGTCGAGTTCTTCGGGAGGGCCGGGGCGTTGGGCAGGTGCAGGTTGTTCTGTCCCACATCAACATCTTCCTTCTCCGGCGCAGGTCCGGGAGCCGTCCCGGATGTACCGCCAAACTCGGGAGCCGCAAACGTCTCCGGTCTCCCGTAACTCCAGGCCTCATCAACCGCCACCGATTTCCGCCTTCTTTGTAGTGACCGGAACAGCCGCTGCGAAGTCGCACTAGTCCGGGGCCTTCCACGGTCTTCAACGTGGTCCTCGCACGGTGCACAGGCTGCAGGACTCGTCGAGCCATCCGACGGGGGTCGAGCTCCGACAGAGTCCCCGTGGTCGCTATCGGGTAGCTCCGCGTCCAAGGCATGCTCGTTTCCTGTTCCAGGAAACTCCATGCGCTCAGTCGCTAGCGTGTCTGTAAGACAGCTAAAGAATTCTTTGTTGTCTTGCGCCGGTGTTCGCAACCGACGACTACAGGGGTGACGGATTTTAAGAGACACCGACGTTTTATGGAAGCACTGAATATTATAGCCAATAAGATTTGAATTTGTGAAAGTCATTACTTGATTGGCTAAAGATTGAGATTTCCTTCGAAGTCCGTCGCCCCCTGTACCGTGTTCACAACGGCGACCTCGACAACAAATCCAAAAGTAAGTTCATTATCCAGTCAATCAGTCAGTTCCCTCCTTTCACTTCACTACTCTCTACAAGTCATGCATCGGTACAGTGTACCATCAGCTCGGAACATATGCCCCTCCGGATCGAGGTCATATTTATATAACACAGGATGGACCAATTTGACAATCGATTGTGTAGGAATCAGTCGTGGCTTCTTGCATCGATATTTGAACCTGGGCATGTTTCGTTCCCATTCCAACGCCATCCGCCCGTTCGTCACGGTAGCAAATAAGTACTCGCGCATGAAGTACGCCATTGGCATGGTTGGATCAGACATGCAGCTCAACGACATGCTCCAATATGTCCACTTGGTTGAGAAATGGTTCTATCTGACAAACGAGACACGCAAGTACTACCTCGTACCTGGCGAAAAGAAACCAAGACGAACGAGCAAGTGGTTTATTACGCAAGTAATGTTCCTGAGTGCTGTAGTTCGTCCGGGGTACAATGCCAACACATACACAGTGGTAGGAGGGTAAGATCAGAACGTGGCCCTTTGTCGAGTCCGTCACAGCACAATGTGGAAGCGCAAGTCGAGTCGCCGGTACCATGGAAACCAAGTCCATTATTGTGACCAAGGACGTATACCGTGCCTTCCTTGTGGAAAAATTCCTACCTTCGATCGTCGCCGTGTGGCCCCATTCGTCATCGGCCATAAAGCTTCAACACGACAACGCACGGGCGCACGTTACCTCATCCGACGCGGAATTGACGTCACTATTTGGGGAATTCAAGGCCATTTGGTGGGATTTTGAGCTCGCTCTACAAGCGCTCAACTCGCCAGACACGAACATCTTCAATTAACCTTGGCATATTTGCTGCCATGCAGTCCCTACAACATCGAACGTCAGCGCGATCAATCGACGAACTTGTGTCCAATGTGGGACGTGCATTTGACGAATACCCCCACGAGCGCCTGAATCACACGTTCGTGACCCTTCAGTCATGCTTGATCGAGACACTCAAGCTCTTTGGTGACAATGCCTACAAGGCCCCCCACCTCTCAAAAGAAAAGCTTGACCGAAAGGGCACATTACCTCTGAACGTGACGTGTCCACGTGAGGTGGTTGATGCCGCCAGTGCCTCACTTGGCGCTTTGGATTGTGACGAATTGGATCGCGTGTTTGCCCAATAGCTCCAAGAAGCAAGGACCATGGACGAGCTTACACGTGAACTCGAGGTTATTGCCCTGACTGACAGTGAGACGCTTGCTGGCTACTATGAGTGAGTTAGTGTTTTGTCTCACCGCTTCTTCTTGGCTTTCGGCCACGGGACCTTCTTCAAGGTAGCAAATATAACACTGACATTAGTAAACACGCCACGAGGCGCCAGCTGACTGCCATTCACTAAAGTACTCAGCACCTCCACTAACGTATCGGAACCTTTGACACGGCACACACACAGAGAGTGTGTGTTTGCCATGGGTCAAACCGACTCGCGACCCAATTCAATTGCTCTGCACGCTGCAGAACACTTCCCCTCCTACGGAAAGTCCAGTGTCTTGATGAGGGCGGCCACGGCAGGGTCTTCCTTGTTGGCCGCCGCCCACTTGCGAAATACGACTGGAATGTCGTCCAGCAAATTCGCCGCAGGTTCCCAGGACGATTCTTCATCGTCAAGTCCAAGCCACTTCACCAAAACTTGGTGTTGGCCATCCACGCAGCGCGCTTCGTCCAGGCGCTCAACATGAAATCCGCCATCGCCAAACGCAATCTGCGTCTCGAGGTCTTCAATCACCTCTCTGCGTACCACCTTCGTGGTACATCTTCAATCGGCATGCATGATGGTCCGTGACTTCATACGGTGGAACCAGCTGCTGAGTCTCCATCAACTGGTCTGTGATGACTCTGGTCACTTTGCAGGGTCCTCGCCAATGCAGGGCCGATTTTGTCGGACGGTTGACGACCGATCCGACAAGTACAAAACCGCCGACCGAAAAACCCGCAAACTTGACTTGGGATTTTCGGTCGCGGCGTCCACGCGCTTGCTGACGCAACTTGTCGCTTCGCACCGCCACGTCGAGGTGCATTTCTTCTAGCGCCGCTTGGAGGTCCGTCACATGTTTCTGACGGGCGGTGACAAGCCAGTCCGTGACGTAATCTTGCTTGGACGTCGGGTGGACAAATCCTGCCAGCGGGGTCTTGGCTGCCAGGCCGGTAAACGCTGTCACAGGCGCAATTCCTCCCCTGGCCGGTCCGCCGGCTGATGGTTGAGGGCGCCTTGAACGCGGGGCAACACATGCGGCCATTCGTCCGCGTTCAGCTTCACCTCGCTGAGCAGCGCCTTCACGGCGTGCAGCACTGTCGGTTGACTACTTCTACAGTCCCGTTCGCCCAAGGACTGTAGGCTGTCGTGATATGATGGTGGGCACCCACCAACTTGCGCACCTTCTCGATCACTTCGTTCTTGAAGTGAGAGCCGCCATCTGACACCCAAGTGTCAACGCATCCGAACGTGGTAAATCACGTCATCAGGCACTGAGCGGTCACAGCGGTGTCAGCGGATTCTTGCCGCGAACAGCTGCACAAAGCAACTCATGTCGTCCTTCACGACAAGCACTTGTTTTTGGCGAGACTTGGCAATGGGCATCGACAACCAGTCGAAATGGATGAGCTCGTTCTGCTTCTCCGCGTGAAGCGCCGAACCCAATGGACGGGGATCATTTTCTCTGTCAAAGCACAGACAGTGCAAACAAGCAAGCACGAACGTTTCGACGTCCGTGGAAAGCGTCTTCCACACAAACTTGTCGGACACCGACTTGGTCGTCGCTGCGGTGCGACGGTGACCGCTGGCTCCTTGGTGAGCGATCACACAAATCCGCTGCTGTAGGTCGACAGCACAGTCTGGGATCCATATTCATCCATCTGGGTCCACGTAAAAATGGGAGTCGCCTTCCCAATCCACACCGTTTGCCCCCCCTTCCATAGTTGAACGTTGGATGCCGCTGATCGTAGCGACTGTCGGCCACTCGAAATCCACTTGTTGCAGGGGCGACACCACATGGATCAACTTGCGAACATTCGCAACTGGTTGATCCGTCGGAGCCGAACCCCATCGGCTCAGGAGGTCGCCCCATACATTCGCGTCCCCCGAGACGCACTCAATGGTGTACGGGAAGGTCGACATCACCAGCGACAATCGCTGCAGCATGTCGGCCTGGTACTTGGCCATGTTGGCGTTCGAGCCACTTGGGTTGAAAATGTACACCAAGTTGCGATGATGCGTAAACAGACGGAAATCACGTGGGCGTACGACCAGGTAGTCGAGCCTCTTGCACGACTCGACCACGGCATAGGCCTCCTTCTCAACGATAGGCCAGCGCGCACTCGCACCAGTAAACGACCCACTGATGAACGCAAGCGGCTAGTGCCGCTGGTCTTCTAGAGGCAAGTCGAGATCCGCTGGCGGTACTTGTGTGCCGTGCACCAAAACAGGTTACTAACGTCCGTGAAGGCGCAGACCGTCATGTCTTCTCGCGGGTGCGACAAAGGCACCACATGCGCCAATGCGTGTTTCACATCGTTGAAACACTTGAGATGGTCGGACGACCATCCCACGGCAGTAAGTGCAACACGCACTAACCCCGTTTTCTTGCAGCTTCCGGCTGCTTTTGTGGCCACGTCGAGCAGACGTCGCAACGGACCCACCAACTGGTTGCAACCAGGGATGCTCGCGCGCATCCAGTTGGTGGCACACACAAACTGTTGGAGGTCGGCCGCGGTCGTCAGCTACGATAAATCCACGAATCCCTGGATTCGGCTTGGGGAATGGGTGATTCCATCGGCCGAAATCATCTTGCCACACCACTCTGCCTCGCGCAGAAAGAAATGACACTTCTTCGGGATGGACAGGACTTGGTCCAGCAAGTCGAGCAGCTCGTCCTTCAACTTGGCGGACCCCAGTAAGTCATCCAGCCAGGCCAACAGGCCTCTGAGAAGCAGTTCACCAAACATTTGGTGGACAACCGACTGACAGTACGCGATAGCGTCCCACTGTCCCATGAGCACACTGGTTGGGGTGTACACGCCGAAGAGCGTCATGAACGAGAAGTATATCTGGCTGTCCGCATGTAGCGGCAACTGCCAGTACCCCTGGTCCATTCCAACGTGAAGTACACGTTAGTTCCGGCCAGACAAACCATCGCGCTGTCTAGATTTGGCATCGGCTCCGTGCAGGCGCTGCTCTCGATCGTCATGCACAAGTCGCCGACTTCCTTCTACGGCACGATCCTTTGGGCTGCTGCCCACGTAGCCCGGTTGTTTTGGTATACCATACCATTCGCTTCCAGGGCAGCCACATGGCTGTGCATGTACTCCACATGCAGCGGCGGGTACCGCCACATCCCACACTTCACCGGCGTCAGGGCGGGGTTTGATCTGAACCTTCAATGGCTCGACCTTGACTGGCGGATCGTCGCCCAAGTCCTTACGGAACACATCAATGTGTTTGGCCAGTAAGTCGTTCAGCCGCGTTACCTTGGCCATTAGAATGGCTCGAACAGCGCCTGGCTTCGTGCGGCGGCGCTCCGCTTCGTCCTCGACGGAGGTTTATCCCAAAACCTCCGTCGAGGCGCACACTCTATCCTGTCGTCGGAGTCAAGCTCCGGTGGATTCAACTTCTCCGCCATCAGGCGCTTGACGTTCGCCATGCCGGACAATTCATTCGTCGGTACAGACGAAGCGTCCCATTCTTCCTTCTTCTTCCTTGCTCCATGAAGGAGGTATTCATCGCTGAAGCCCAGTAACTCCATGACTGGGCGTCTCACGATGAGTTCGGTTGCAGTCGCGTCGTCGACCAGGCCTTCAGACCGCGCAACACAAGCGGTCCGCATGTCGTGTCCAGCGTCACGCAGTTGAACTTGACGCTGCGCGTCATCACCACTGGCTTGGCGTTACCGTACGGTACGCCAAATGCGGCACACTATGGGAGACAATCCCAACTCGATACAGGTTGCGTCCAACGCATCCATGACGCAGTGCGTGACAACGGTCACGTCCGAAACAGAGTCCAAGAACACATCGTCCAGGCGGACGATATTCTCCAAGAGCACGCCGCGCTCTGTCTGCTGCGGCTGGTTGACCAGCACCTTGATGCCGTCTTCCAGCGCTTGACTTGCGCTGCCAACAACGTTTCAGCTTCGCCAGGCGTGGCCTTCGGGCACCGCGCCATACGGTGACTCATGTCACTGCACTTCAAGCAGCCCATCCTGGCAGCGGGCTCGGCATTCTTGGGCACGATGGTTTCGGCCTTTCCGCCGACTCTGCCATTGTTCTTGGCGGCGTCTTCCCGGCCGCTGTCACGTCTTGGCACTTGAGGATTGCCGCCTCGTGGAGCTTCTACCGGCTTCGCTGCCGGGGATGGTTTGTACTCGTCGTCGAGTCCCACGTACAGCTGTTGACCAGCTGCAAATGTTCGCAGCCGGTTGACGTAACGAAAGACGTCACTCTTCAACGCCTTGTTCAGCTGCAACTGCAGCTGCTTTTTGAACCGCTGTCTTCAGCGAATCCGGCTTGCTCGACTTCGTCATGACTTCGACGACCATCTTGCCTTCTTGATGGAGTACCCACTCCTAATGGTCTTGTTCCAACGAGCGCATCAGCTCGTCCAACATACGACCGACGCGGGACTCCGCGTCCAAGATCTTCGTATCAAAGCAAATCGCTCGCTGCAGACGTTGCTTCAAAACGTCCAGGTCTTGAGAGTCTTCCTCAAACGCTGATTTGAACCACGCGACCCACTCATCGTTCGTGATGGAGTTGTGGTCACGGTTGAAGTCCAACAGCGCAATCCGGCGCTTCCAGAACGGGTCCATGCAGGCACTCATAAGTATCGCGAACGGAGGCGATCCATTGCACTGCAGTGCAATGATAAAAGCGCGTCTTTCGGCCTTGGTCGAGCCCGAAAATGTCGGCGGCTGTGGGATCACTGGCCTGGCTTGTTCCAAACTTACGGCTCCGTACGGCCGTAACCGATATCGCTGCCCATGTCCGTATCGTCACTGACGTCCGACGGGTCGTTGTCGACTGGCAACGGCACTGAAGCGCCATCTGCGTCAGTCGTTGGTGGAGCAGCAGCTGAGACAAACGTTGCGACAGCTGGTGTTCCTCGGGTTGTGGCAGTGGTATAAAACGCACCACATCGCGGTTGCCACTCGTCAACAGCAGGACGTTGTCAAAGAGAATTTTCCTGTCCACACAATAACCAAAAGAGATGCCATGAATTCACGAGTCATATCAGGCGGTGGAGGATGGACGGACGGACGAGTACCCGTTGTCGACGCCGTTGCAGCCCATCTTGTGGCCCATTGTCCATCATTATTATGTCGAATACTTTGACACGTCGTTGTCATGTGTGAATTGCATTGTCATGCACGAATTGTCCAACACTCCAACCTGTCATTACTTCAAAACTTCATACATTTCTAAAACTAATATACCTTTATC